CATCTCCTTCCTCCCTGTGAAATTAATACAGTAGGCAAGCTCAAATCGAAAATGATATGCAGAATGTATCTAGAAAATTTTAAACTGATGTTTAAGCCTTCTTATCTGCTTCTGTACAAAGGCAAGTTACCATCAATAAGTAAAACTGTGATGATTACGATGATTATATTTGTACCACGCCTTTCTTGTTCTTGCAAGGGACCCAAAGCAGTTTCCAAGGTCCCCCTCCTCTCCATTTTATCCTCACAACAACCCTGTTAGGTAGGACAGGCTGAGAGCCTTAACGCCAAAAGGCTGTATCATTTGTTGCCAGTTTAATATTGCACCTGGCCATCTTGAGAACAGGTGTAGGGGTAAGTAAAGGTCTGAATGAGAAACAGAGATCATTGCCCGGTATTCCACGTAACTGGTGTGCTTCCGCTCCTTCTCTGGAAACAAGTGTGGCACAGAAACTACTAGCTGAGTCTAAAACACCCAGTTCTGTCCTGAATGTGTCTACCAAGATTCATTCTGATTACTCGATGCTCAACAGAATTACTGCATTACAAAAAACTCACAGGCCAATGAAACACCCAACAGGCAAGTTACAGTACACATACTCATGTCCATTTTAATTAAAATTGTCTCTCCTAGGGGGAAAAAAGTGCAGCTTAAATCGCTGGATGCCAAAAGGCAGCACAAAAGAGAACATATTGCTTCTCCTCCAGAAAATGCCGAAGCACGGCTCTGATTACTCCTTGCTCAAAGGTAGCCCAGAGGGATGCTAGAAATTGCTGCAAGATGATTGGGCGAAGAGGAGCTCCTGCTGCTTAGTCCGAGCTGAGCATCTTTAAAGCACAGCACACCCTTTCAGGTTAGCAGGTCTGCTCTAAGCAGAACACTGCTGCATGCAGAGCAGAATTCCGCAGCCTGGAACCCTCCAGATGAGTCTGACGGCAACCCCCTTCCTCACCCACCAGCAGGGCTACTGGCTGACAGAATTTGTATCCCAACACATCTGGATGGTGCCATGCCAGGGGAGGCTGGTGTAGCGAATAATCTTCCCTTAAAGCTACCCTTCCACGCTCCTCTGATTTTTGGCATTAGTTCCCTTGAAATACAATCACTCCTGGAAGACCCCAAAGCATCAGAGAACAAAGAAACGCTGCGAGTATAATTGGGATCAATTTAAGCATAGAACACTTGATTGGGCTAACAGGTAACTTGACTTCCTTCTGCACAGTGTGGATTCCAGAACACTCACATAATACAATTATCTTGCAAATGAGTCCCTCTCAAACCTCGGCAGTGGCAAAAGAAAAACAATTCCAAGAAAAATTAGTTCCATGGGAACCAACGATACAGATAGGCCCAGAATGACACCCGTTATGTAAGAGCCTGGATTAGCTCTAATCTATCGTAATGCATCCCTGTTTAGGGAAAAGCTTGGAAGGAAAGGCTTCAAAACAGTCATTTAAAGAAACGCTGGTTGTTAAAGGAAACAAATAATCGGTTGTCCTTCAAGACAGCATTCAGATAAATGCAGGGAGGAAGAGAGGGAAGCAAACCGAAATACAAGCTTAAGTATTGTGCTGGCTCTCCCCTTGTTTTCAAATCGGCCACACTCATCTGCACTTCCCTTCATCCTTCAAAAGAGGAAACACTTCAAGTCAAATTAACTCAACCTTAATATTTAATTCTGTCTGAGCAAACTCACTACTGTAGCCTCGGCCAGCATTCTCACATGGCAGAATTAACAGCTCGAGAAGCAAGACAGCTTAAGAAAGCAAATCCCACTTGCCTCTCAGGGTTACCAATTACCTAATGTTTGGTTGCTAACCTCAGGATGAAATCGAAATACTCACAAGCAGCCAAAGTGTGCGCCAGGCACCCAAACAAGAGTTTCTAAGCAATTACGGTCTGGGAGGCAAGATGCAAAGGCAGGCAGGCAGGCAGTATATGGGGGGAAGGCAGGGGCTGGGCAAGCCACTCCGTGGGGCTTTTCTCAAGTTAATCCTTCAGCCAATCCAATGGCAAAGAATCCCATTTGGTGCCGAGTCAAATCATAACGTTAAGTTTAAAAGTTCCAAAGCAAGGAAGGTAATGCTGAGCTCCTCCTGCCCTTAAAGGCCACCCTGAGGTATCGATTTTGCAAATGAACAGTAACAGCCAGGCCTTCTGCACTCAAAAGACCGTTTCATTAAATTCTGCCGCAAAACAGCAGGGTGCTACAGCCCTGCATTATGTCGATGCTGCTTAATTCATTCCACGATTTATTTCCTGTTTTACATAGTCTGTTCTGATTTTGGTAATCCCAGAGTATAGAGGGCACTGAAAACCTCCTCCAACCATTAGGAATCTTATGGTTTCCTTCCTTCACGCATAAACATCCCTTCTGAAGAAAAGAAACCTGAATTCTGCTGCTGACATAACATGCTGGGAGCCACAACACCTTCGTGGTCCGCTCCAGAAACTATTCATCAGATGCTGCGAGGACCGGAGAACCAAGCAGGCAGGTGCCTGTGGGTGTCCCAGTAAGGCTCCATCCACAACAACCCACAGGATGCAAGGGTGGAAGCGCTACTGCATAACTTAGCATACACTTAACCATGGAGCAGGCTTCTTCAGGCTGGGTCCCAGAACTGTACACAATATGCTAAGCGTGGTCACACCACAGATTTGAATAAAGGCAGTCCAATCTTGGCAGTCTGATTTTCCTCTCCTTTACTAATTATCATTTCCCCTGTTTAAAATACGTCAACATGAAATTCTCAAGCTTTTGATTCTTCCACATTCGTCCCTACAGTTGCCATACATCAGAGACGACTTGACAGCACGTAACAACAATAAGCTGGTGCCTTTCTGCACCACAGGGTAAGCTGGGCTCTGCTTTACCCTTTCTTCTGGTTTTAGATGTCGTGGCTGCTGAAGGACAGGCTACAACTTTCAGAAATAAACCTGGTGGCTGTTGGGAGAGGTTGTTCAGGTAGATCACAAGGAAGGAAGAAGATCCCATCACACAATTCACAGGCACCCCGGGAAGGAAGGAAAAGCAGTCTTAAACTCGAGGTTTCTCCGTAACGTGTTGGAGCACACCCCTGGGCGCTACCCACAGTCTTCGGACACACGCACATGTTGGATTCATCTCTGCTGATGGTCTGAATATACCCCAAATGTTTCAAACTGCAACTTGCAGTTGGCTTTATCTGCTTCAGGTGCTTTCCCTACCCCGAGGTCCACAAGGCCTCCCAAACTATTCAGGCAACCCCACCCCTTTGGTGCCCCACTTCCAAAAGAAACATCCATTTTGTAGAGGCTTAAAGCCTGGCACATGTATGGATGAATATGTCCCCCCCATCAGCCTGAGCCAAGCCACATTTTACTATGGCCAACATTACCACCTGCATGTGGTTTTGGAGGTCAGGAGATGGGGCTGGAGCAGAGGAGCGCAGCTGGCGTACGCATCTAAAAATACAATACAGCAAAACCACGCCGATGGCTACCAAGTCATTGGCTGAGCCTGGCTGGGATGTGAACAGCCAGCAGAGAGATCTCACGGGGATGAGGACTCTACTGAGGACCCAAGTCCATTTGATGGGTGAGCAACCGTCCTTCAGAATGTGAGCACTCGACTCAAAACCCTGGGAGCCCTGTCTCATCACCAAGCCTTCAGGCAGCAGACAGAAAACTGAAGCACCCGGAAGAAAGGCAGCAGGGAAAAGACCGATGAGCTCAGGAAGGCAAAGAGGAGCAGGGGGAGCTCAGGAGGGGAGGAACGGCAAGAGGCAACCCCAGAACTACCCTGCTAGAAGCACCACCAATCCCAGACAGGTTGCAGCCTCCCACTCTGAATCCAGGACACTGTGGCTGCAAAATGAGATGCCCCGAGATTGTGGAGCCGAGCCAGGACTGCCATGCTGGGAGACCCTGTTCATGCCCAAGCACCTCCTGAGAAATACTGGCCCAAGGAAATCATGCATTCCAAGTGAACGCCAAAGGCAGATAAGTTTATATCAGCAAGCTGGCATTGCAGCAATTCCCCAAGGAAGGCAAAGACATCCAAGCCTCAGTACTGTATAGCACGGCTGCTCCAACTCAGCCTTTTAGAAATTCCAGGAAAGCCCAAGTTTGTATCATTATTATTATTATGAAATAGCTAACTAAGCTCTTTGACTTCATATTTTCAGAGAGAAGCTGGGAAAACATGATGGCAAGGACAGGAAAAATCCAGCCAAAAAGTGAAAGAACTCGTATTATATGCAGTGAAGCAGGGAGATAAAGCATACAACTGCAAAGGTAGTAACTTGGGAATTTTACTCCTGCATTTTTGTTGCAGCAGCTCAGCCAAGCGCATGCTGAACTGAAGAGCACTCTGGGAGCAAGCCAGCGGGTGAATAAGGGGCATTATAGCCACAACCCGCAAAGCCTTCCTTCACTCCTCCAAAACACTCCCAGAACTGAGTGAAGAGAGCAGAACATTTAAAAAAAAGAAGTGTAGAAAAGGGGATGTGTTCCCCCCATCTTGCCCTCCAAGCCAGGTATGGGAAGCAGCTGTTTCTCCACCAGGCGGGGGTCTCTCCCCAATTCCATTGGGTTTTTCTGCCTAGAATTGCATGGCTCTTTAGCCAAGAGACCCTGGGATGTGGCTGCTTGCTAGGATGGAGCACCCGGGGCAAGAAGAACCGATCATCTGATGCACTAGAAGGTACATCTATACATATACCTAATTGAGTGTGCAGAATTTTTTAAATTATTTTTAAAAGAAGGTAACAGGCATTATTGGAACATCAGTCATGCATGTACCTCAATTTCAGAACTTGTGCAGGGATGGTGTTGGTGCAGAGAACATGGGCAGGGAAGAGGAACATGAGGGCACAAACAAAAATAAAGTTTGGGCAAAAGGTACCTAATTTGGAAAGCAGAGGCTGCTGCAGCCTTTGTGAGAAAAGAGCCAGAGCCTTCTCTCCCAAACAAAAACAAAAAAAGGAAGAAGAAGAAAAGAAAAAGATGAAAGCACTCACCTTCCACTGGTCTTCTGGAAGCAGCTTTACGACCACAATGTCACCATTCAGAGCCCTGTTGCGAGCAACGACTCCATCGATGAAGATATCCCGGGTGCCATCCTAGAGAAGAAGCAGTTCTTAGAGGAGCTGGATTTGGAAAGGCCACAAAGCTCGTTTGAAAAGTCAGCAGGACAAGAGACAACAAATGACCCAAGCGCCCTCCGGGGCCTTAGGAAATACACATGCAGGTCACACGCAGGCAAATGTCTATACACTTTTACACATGCAGACACACTCCTGACACGCCCGAGAGGGAGTCCCCAGTTTATTCGTCCAGCCATCTCTTGCCCATTCTCTGTGGGAACTCTGACACGGGCAAACAAGCCAAACCTTAGACAGAAACCTGGTGCTTTGAGCAGACGCAGAGGTGCCAGGTGTACGGGGCGAATGCAGGATCAAGGCCATCCAGAGAGGTGCCAAGCTGGAGGGAGTAATCACGCACTCGTACCACAAAGTGCGCTTTCCCACGGCTTACAAGGGACTACTGGGCCCTCCCACTCTCTCCCTTACATACATGCTGCATACATGGGTGTTCATAGATAAGCATCCTCCAGGAAGGTGCCTCCAAATTTGTATTTATGTTCTTCCTCTTTTCCTTCAAGGAAATCAAGGCAGCTTACAGAACTCTCAATGTATCCCTCAACAGCAACCCTTTGGGGTAGGTTGGGATGAAAGTTTGTGGCTGGCCCAAGATCACCCAGAGAGCTTTGCAGCTGAGTGGGGACTAGAACCCAGATCTTCCAGATCACAGTTCAACGATCTAACCACTGCACTGCACTGTCTCTCACTTGGACAGTGGCTCCCAAAATTTCCAGCCAGCAGACATGCACACACGGACAGGCTTAGTAGGTGTTCAGGCTTCCAATCCCTCCCATTTCTATCATGTGATGCAAGGTCTGAGGAACTCAACTGCCTTACCAGATCCAGCCTAACTTGCCCGGCAACTCTGTCCTGTCCTGTCCTGTCCTGTCCTGTCCTGTCCTCCAGGCAGTGCCAAGCATGGCAGGAAGGCCATGGCCACCCCAACCAGTCCCCACCAGTGTCCAGTATTCAAAGATAAACTTGTCTCTGCTTCTGGGAACTCAATTTTGAAACGATGGCGAAGAACTGTGGGAAGCCCCGTCCTCCTTGGGCGTGCCTAACCTTTTAGGACAGCCGTCAGGGCAGCCTCTGATCCACCAAGCTTGTTGTTGCTGGCTTGTTATATCCATGCCCTGCAAGGAGGCGGAGGCAGCTGACAGAAGCCCCCTCCTCTCCATTTTGTGCTCACAACAATCCTGTGAGGTAGGTGAGGCATAATCATACAGCCGCAGCTCCCTTTGCCCACAACTGCTTGTCGCTTTCTGTGGGTGACCCTGGCCCACCCAAAAGCAACCTCAGACCCTCCAGTCCATCATGGGATAGGGCAAATGGCGAGAAAAAACACCCCGGAGGGAGCGATTGCTCCCACTTCAGAGAAGGGTAAAATACCTGCCTTGGGACCAAATAAGGAAAGCACCGCCGGTAAGCAGCCCTCTGGCAAGACAACTCCAGGCTGCCCCGCAACTCCGCACTGCCGTGCGCAGCAGGGGCTGCTCCACCAGCCGGGGGCCCAGTCCCACACGCCGGGCGCACAGCTCTCCTCACGCAGGGGCTTCCACCAGCTCCACAGCCTCCGGGTTCTGCACAGCGCTGCCTCGTGTGATGAACCCGCAAACTGTGCCCTGGAGCATCTTCCCGAGCACCGTTTGCAGGCTCGGGACTACAGCAGGTCTCCTGTTTGGCTGCCCACAGCGACACCCTGTACTGCCTGTCTTCTGGTGTCATCCCTTAACACCAGACAGCACCTAGCACTGCTGCCTCACGCGCAGCCTGGGCACCTGACTGGCGCTCCCAAGAGACTGGTGCGCGGTGTCTGCAGGGACTGTCCTGGGTCCCCTTGGTCTACTCCCCTCCGCCTCCTTGCCTCCCCGCGCAGCTGTCCCCGAGGTCCTCCTTCTGGCTCAGTCCCTGGCCCGTCCCCAACAGCAGATGTGCGCTCAGCAGCCGGGAAGAGGGCATCCTGGCTGGATCAGAAGGGCTGCGCCATGTGGCCTCCCGGGGAAGCCTATGGGGCACGGCGCTACAAGGAATTCTGAGCCACTTCTGGCTGTGAAATCTGGCAAGTGGTGTGAAATGGACAAGATAACATGGAGCTCAGGGGAGGGGCAGGCACAGCGGAGGGAAATCGGATGCTGAGCAAGAGCAGGCCAGCCCCACTGAGGGGACGAGGCGGACTCGGGGCAGGCAAGCCGAAAACCAGGCAACTCGGCGGAAGGGGCTTCTGCTGAGGCAGGCAACCCTGGACCTGCCCTCGTCCATTTCGCAGAGCGACGGGGGATCCCTGCAGTCATGCCCGCTGTTAAATCTCAATTTCAGCCATACCAAAAGAAAACAGAGAGACGGTGGGAGGACGACCCATGAGAGGCCAAGCCAAGTCCCTCCGGCTGCTTAAGGAGACTAAGAAAGGGCGCCGTCGACAGCACCCACACCTGAAAAAGCGGGGGCACGGCACGGCCTGCGGGAAAGGAACACAAGCTGCAAGGGATATCGGACGAGGAACTAAAAATAAACAGGAGTCGTGGAAGAGAGCTGCTCTGCAACGGCTCCACGTGCCTTCCAAGAACCAGGGGGAGCCTGTCATCAGCTTGCTGTTATGCAAGCCGCATGTGCCGCCGGGTTCACGACACCACTGCGTCACGACTGTGGCGGCGCTATGCTCGGAAAAGGGGCCTTAGGGGGTCTCGGCACGGCCCAAGCCCCAGGTTCCCATACCCAGGGATCTGCAACGCCGCTCGCCTGCTTTCCAGGCTCAAGCACTCCCAGCCCCAGCAGCAAGCGTGCCCCAGGCGTCTGCCACGGCTCCTCCGGAGCAGGTGATACAAGGCTGGCCGAGCTACTCCCAAGCAGCAGGAGAGACTCCCCCCCTGCCTTCCCTCCTCCACACTTCCAGAGACCGAGAGATGGCAGAACGGTGGCAGCGCAAACACCGGATGGCTAGTATGCAACGCCAACCGTTGCAGATCCTTGTCCACAGCTCTCAGCACCGAAACGCCCAACAAGCCGCCGGCTGGACTGACTGGCGTCGAATGGCTTCAAGCGGCAACGTGCAGGGCCCCACAGGGGAGGGGAGGGAGGGGCGGCACCGCCACCCCCAGTGCCTGTCCCATGGCTGGCCTGCGCCCTCGGTGGCACGCACTCCCCGCTGCCAAGGGGTCATGCCAAAACAGGGTCAAGAGACGGGGCACCCCTGCGAGAACTACGCAAATGTGCGCGATATTTAGGAAGAGCTGCCTCCACCCACTCTGAGCCGAGGGGATAGACCGACTCAAGTAATAGGAACTTGCTTCTTCGACGTGTTCTGCTTTGTTCTACTTCCCATAATCTGAGGAACAAAGACCCTGGGAGGCTCTGAAGTCCTGCCCAAGGACTAGGGGAAGTTTCGGCCCTGCCTGACGGCCCACACGCTCTGGGAACAGGGGACGCTTTGCACGCCGATGGTCCAGGGTGAGCTCCTTGACAGCTGCAAAGTACAGATTAATGGCCGGAGAGTGGGAGAGAGCCTTCTCTGCCCCAGCTCACCGAGAAGCTGTGCATCCTGGGCCAGACTGGCCAATGGGCTGATCCAGCACCAGCTTCCTCATGCTCCAGCTTCCCTTCACGAACAGGATGGATGCCAAGACTCTCGAGACATGCGGTACCAAACTCTGTGCCTTTTTTTTTTTTTTTTGCATTTCCCCAGAACTGTGGCATAAACAGAACCCTTCTAGGAAACCACATCTTGGAGACTCCGGCAGCTGTTCTCCTACTTGCTCTTTCCCATGCACTTTTCACTGCCAAATTTTCCCTTTGCTGACATCTGAAGACACCCACCCACACCCTTGCCGCCTCTGCCATCCCTTCTCTCTGCTCTGACCCTCCCCTTGTCCCCATGCCCTTCATCATCACTGACACACATCAACTTCCCCCTAGACAGACAGACAGGCAGATGCTAATTTACATATGTTCTAAATTCCGTGTGTGCGTATTTGGGTGTGTGTGTTTAAAAAGACTTATCTCCTAAAGATATATCCCCTATTTGTAAAAACTATGGAAAGACGGGGGACAGGAGGGCATTTGACTGTAGGAAATAAGTCAGGAATAAGGATTCGGAGGGTGGGCGGCAGCAGATGAAACACATGTGGGGAAAAACCTAGTAATCCAGGGAATTCAGAGGCAATGGAGGTCATCGGGGGCCCTGTGCCTGCATTTCAGCAAGTGCCCCCAGAAAGCAGAGTGGTGGGGCAGATCCAGCCCCAGCGGCCCACTCCCTCGCATCATTCCTACTTTACTGAAGACCCTCAGGTCCCCAACCGGAAGCTCATTTGTCGCAGACGCTGCTCTGAGCAAGCACGGAAGGGCAGCTTCTCAGACTGCCCTTCCGCCTGGACACAAGGGTCTCCACCAACCCTTCCTCGCCAGTGCAAAATGCAGCGGAGGCTCTGGCCCAACCCGCTCTTCAGGGCGGACCTCAGCTGCTCACTTCTCTTTGCCCAGGCCTCCATTTGCCCATGGAAACATGCTGCTGAGAACGCCTGCGTTTGCGCGAGGGGTGCTGCCGATGAAGAGCGGCAGGACCGGCACTTCCTCCCCAGACTTTTGGCAGGAGTCTTGCTCAGCAGAAGTACCCATACTTGTTCTTTGTCTTACAGCAATGCTGGACATGGTGTTTTATGCAGCTCTTCTACTGAATAATTACGGGTTTTTTAACATTCTTTATTTAATGTTCTGCTTGTGAGCTCCTTCAAGTTATACAGAACAAGATAGCTTTTTTAAAAAAATAATGAACAAAAACCTCTCCTGCTGTGCACATTGAAAGGTGGCAGAAATTGGGATTAAGGACCTCTTTCTGTTCTATAGAAGAAAGCCTGAACAAACAACCCACGTGGACTTTCTTGCAGTGGGACGACGAAGGTGATGGACAGGGAAGAGGCAAAGTCGTGCGCTTCCAAGCGCCAACAGGAGCGCAAACAGGACAGTCCCACAGAAGAACCCCTGCCTGTAATCAGGGAAAGGCATCTTTGGGATACGAGTCTTGTCTGTGAGGCCGATGGGAAATCCCCAAGGAGTCTCCCAGATACCTGTCAAGGATCCTTTCCAGATGTCACACAGCACAGAGTAGTAGAAAGCACTTTCCTGCCATGTCTCTGGGTTCTCGCTTCCATTTATTTGCATCAGAACTATGTTGTATGTTGAACTCCATAAACTGCGGTTAGGGATTCAGAGCCAAAAGCAGATTTGCATGATGTCAGTTTTCTCCAGTGAAACAACCACGATTGTAGATGAAGGCTAGAAGTTTATTCTTATACAGAGCAAGGGGTGGGGCAGCCTTATGAGCAAACTGGAGCCCCCTCTGAAACCACTTCTGCTACACGGGGTTCTGCAGGGAGCATCTCGTAAGATTGCCCAGAAACAAATAAAGCCTTTATCTGTTTCCAGGAGAGCATGTTGCAATTTGGATGGCCTCTGGGGTTCGTTTTACAAGGATGCTTTAATGAAGTCCCCCCCCCCCCCGCGCATGCTTTTCCAGATATGTGCAGGGAAGACTTTGAGAAACAACAGCACTTGCTACCAGAGACTGGTTTATCCTCTAGGAAGGTGGTGCTCAGGAATGTGGGAAGCTCCATTCTTCACAGCATGTTCCTAAGCCAGACCAAGAGGCTAATGGATGAAACACCAGTTGGGAGGGTGGGGGAACCACCATGTGCATTATTTGCCCTTATCTGTGGCTGACTGAATGTGAGGGATTCTGGATAAAACAGCAGAATACGCTGGGAATCCCAAAAGAGCCCCTCAAACCCGAGAGCAGATCAATGAGGTCAGCCTCTCTGGCCATCTCAACAGCCCTCCCCGAGTTCATTTACAAAACACAAGCCTTCCATTACTGGAGGGCTGCCTCAGCCCCCAGCAAGCCCTGCCACCTGAGTTTATACAACACGACAGGCTGCAGCAAGCCAGGTGCCAGGCAAAAATGGTTCCCACAGGCCATGGCACAATGCAGCAACCCCCTCAGGTAAATTAAACCACAGCAGGCTGTCTTGTGCAAGACAGGTCAGCTCATTCAAACCGGGTCTGACCCTCACTCCTCCCCAGGCAGCCTTGAACACAGTTGTCCAAATCCTGAAGTAAATTCAGTCCTGGAGCCTGATGACTAAAAGACAAGAAAGGAGAAAAAAGATGCAGCAGAGGAATGCCCACTGACGTCCCTCTACCAGTGTGTTTTGGCACCAGAACATTTCACTGCATGGCTGAGGCAGGAGGTCTTGCTACTGCACGATCTCTAGGCACTACATTCTTCTAGGCAGGATGGTCCACGTGGCCATGTGCTGATCGGACCTCCACCTGGTGCCCTCCAGGTGTGTTGGACTGCAACTCCCAGGACAGAGGTCATCCTCACCCACCTGCCCACTCCTGTTCTACTGAGGCAAGAGAAGAGGACAGAGGGAGACCACAGGGGTGTACATGCCTTTGGAATGGGCACTACAGTGGACAGCCAGCTGTCAAATGCTACATCGCCTGCGAGTTGCTGGTGAAATTTGGCAGCCTAACCCTGGGTTTTCAGGTATTCACGCAGAGTTTACCTTGACCTGAAAGTGCTCCTGAGAAGGGAAGATTCGGTACTCCCTTTGCATCTGTTGCAAAGCTTTGAGGACGTCACCAAAAGTCGTTATAAACTCTCGAATACCATCACGAACCTTCCAAGCATTGCTGAGGAAAATGGGCTCCCCCTGCAGCAACTGAGGAGGGGAAAGGGGCCTTGCACAAGCACACCGCTAAGAGGAAAGGCCGCCATGCCTCACCTCCACGGCCTTTCCTGCCCCAGTGCTGGCGCTTTCTGTAAGAGGTAGAAGCCAATGCGAAAGGAAGGCCATCCCAGAGCAGGACAAGTGACCTCCACAGAAGCGCAACAGCTGTGCAAAGGCTGCCTCCCATGACAAGAGGCAGAAAAATTGCAAGGCTTCTTGGACTAACATAATTCAGCTGAGAAGCTGTTCTTCTGAGATTTTCTCCTCACCGGCCCCCCTTTTCCTCAACCCCCAAAGTAATCCCACCGCATACTTTGGGATGTTTTGCATCATCCGAGAGGAGGGCCCTCTCATTTCAGTCATCGCCCTGGCACGGCTGCAGCCCTGCTTAAGGAGCTCGTTGTGCAAAGGAGGTGATGGATGGCAGGCGCTCTGCCACATCGCCTTGTTTCCTGATTGCACAAGGAAATGAAGCGTCTGCTGCTGCAGCGCCGGATCGCATGGCATTCCAGCCGGGGAAAGACATTCTCCTGCTCCTCACTCTGTAGCTGATCACAAGCAATTTAGCTCTATAAATGAAATGGGCAGAACAGGCCAATTCGCAGGCTTCCCGGCTGTGCCTGGGATTTCTTCTCTCAAGAGCCCTCCCATCCTCCCCTCGTCATCGCAAACTAAAGGGGAGCCCTGAAGCTACAAACTAGGTTCTTCCCTAGGAGCACAAGGAGACCTACTTCAGGTGAATGAGCGCAGGCCGGGCACAGCAGGTGGCCCTGCAGACGTTTCTGGAAACTGATGCAGCAGTCAGTAACAAGCAGCTAGCCACCGCTTCTGCCGACTCAGCCATACCCACACGGTCTGGACCAGTGCCGCCCTCCCCTGCTCAAAAGCCCCACAGGCCAGCACAGAAAATGACTCACACCCATGACAAAGATCCATGCCCATGCGCAGTGTGCGAGCAGAGAAACAAGTCCTTAGAAGAAAAGTGCCACTGAAAGCAAAACTTTATCCTCAAATGTACTTCATTTTAATTGTTCGGGGTCCCGGGGGGAAAAAAGCACCTGAAATGCTTCCTCAAATTCCTATAGGGCATATTCAAGGCTGCCAGCGTCCTCCCTCGATTTTCCACCTCTCCCCCCACACCCTCGAAGTATGAATACAACGAGCATCCCAGATAGGGAGGGTCACGAGGAGACAGCCCAGATTTCTTTCCTCTGATCAGTTTTTGGACTGGAGGTAGCCCAGCCTTCCATGGCGGGCAGAAGCCACCAGGATCAGCCATACTTGCAAACAGGCAGTTCAGAAGGGCAGGGGCACCATGCTGGGGAGGAACCTGTCACTGGCATTCTCCTTGTCTCCCTACATTGCCCTCAGTAACAGCCCACTCTTCAGGAAGACGAGAGAGATAATAGAGGATGCTCGACCGCGATGCGCAAAAGCGCGTCTTCTCCCTTCGCAACCTGCCCAATCGCGGAGATCATTAGATGAGGGCTCTCAGGGGTTCCGTGTGGGTGGGCCTGCAGCCTGGTTGGAGACCACTCAGAAGAGAGCGTGTAGCAGGTGGAGCCCTCCCTCCCTGCAGAATTCTTTGCCAAATGACGACCGGCAGGCACCAGCATGGTTCCGCTTTGGGCCTGTGATAAAGGCACCCCCTGTGAAATGAGCTTTTTCTGATTGGAAACTCAGCTCCCGTTCCACTGTCGAAACTGCCATGTTTTAAGAATTTTTACCGTTTGCATTTCAGCACAGTCCTTGTTCCCTGTTCGAGGATTCTGTAAACATGGAGTGGGCGCTAGATGCTGTTAATACTTTCTGTATTAATTCTGCTTGAACTTGCTCTTCCCCCAAAGACCTCAGAGCAGCTTCTGTGCAGCAGAATCCTGCTCATGTTCCTTCAAGCCCATTCTGGGGGCTGTGCTCATGTTAGCAGAGCTTCAGTCAGCATCTTGCTGTCCAGCTTTCTTTGAAGTAAGAGCTACACAGCCCTCTGTTCCAAGCAAATATAACCTCCACAAAGAGGTTTAACGAGCAATCACTACCTGCATGAGCCCTCCCCAACCTGGTGTTCTCCAGATGTGTTGGACTACCAGTCTGACAATATTCTCAGGTGCCCGAAAAAAACTTGTCTTGCACCTAATGACTGAGAAAGAACTTTCTTCCTTGGGAGACAGTTATCCTTCCAGCTGTGCCACAAAAACTCTTCAATTTGACAAACAAGGCAGAAGAAGCTTTCTAAAGATTTGTTGTGACACATTTAGAGAAGGAAAGGTGGACCCAGAAGAAGGAAAATCCCCTCTGAAACATGTCAGGCATAATAAAAAGAAGTTTCAGGCACCTGAGAACATACTCAGTCTTGGGACACGCAAGTGTCCTCCTTTTTTGCTGCTTTCTGGACTACAGCTTTCATTATCCCCACAGCCAGGAGAAGATGAAGGTACATCAATTCCCACTCAACAGCCGTTCCATGAGCTGCACGTGGGCCAGCATTCCAAGGCAAGCCTGTTAAAACACAGCGTGCACATTACTTTGAGATCAGGTTTACAAATTAGCTCATGCAGCAAACCAGCAGCCGAAAAGCACATTTGTTTGGGGGAGCTTAACAGAAAGTCAGGAGAAAATCTGCAAGCCATCTGTTAAGTGTAATCCTAAAGCCTCCGTTTACAGCTAATCGGTGGCCTCCAACCTGGGCACAGCTGGCCTGAGCCAGCTCCAAAACAGCACTGCCTCTACTATCAGGAGTTCAAATCACTAGGAGCTGGACCTACCCATTCCTGCTCCTGGCCTGTTCACCTGGTGTTAATTTCAAGGAACGCAAGGCTCCACAGGTCAAGGAATGATGCTGGATGGCTTGCTCCTAGGGGTCCTACAAGCCCTGTGCCCATTCAGCCAAAGGGACCGTTTGCTTGGTATGTGTGCACCGACTGCTAACTTTATGGAGCTGCGTACTGCTTACCGGAGATGGAATGAAGGCCTCGTGGTACTTCTTGGGGTTTATTCTCAAGGTTCCCTTAAAAAAGAAAGAGAAAAAGAGAGAGAAGAACTGGAATTAGAGCTCAAAAAAGGATTTACTTTAACGCAACACAAGTAAGTCTGCTTGAGAGAACCTGCTATTTCTTACTCAACTTTGATGACAGCACCCTAACCCTTACCTTCCCATTAGAACAATGGCACCTTGCTACAGTCCCGAAAAGCAGCAGAACCATGAAATATCACACCAGCGACCAGGGCAACCACCAGGAACTGCAAAGCTGGGGAAGGCAAGTGTAGCGCCTGAACACAGGCAGTGTGGAACTGCGCACAGATCTCACTGCAGTGGCGGAAATGGGGGCTCTTGGCACCACGAAGAGCCCTTAGGTGGCTTCATGAAGGTAAGCCAAGAGGAGCCCTGACTGAGGAATGCAGCAGTCCACGCTTCAGCCACATCAAGGGTGTAAAAGGTTTTGTAACCGCCCAAAGACCTTGGACTCCTGTATGACACAGATTCCAATAAATGGGCTCCAATAAATAAGAGCCACAAGCACACATTCTGGACAAGAATATGTAGAAAAGACAGAAGATACGATCGGACCTGTTTTCCTCTTTTGCCTACATGCAAAAAATTTACGAATCTCATGCCCCTGGGATGCTACCACCCAGCTCTCATGGAGACTCGAAGCAGGGCTCATTTACCATGGGCAGGTATTCCGATCTAAGATTCAGAGCACGAAATACAGGAAAGAATAATCTGGCCTCTCCCCACCCCTTGCCAGAGAAACAAGGGAGGCCAGGAAGCTGTGCTCCTTCCTTTCTGGAAGACCACCATGGAAAGGGAAAGAGCACTTGCTTCCCCGTTCCAACAACACTTTCAGCTACCTTGGAAGTGCAGAAGTTAAGGACAGCAAAACCTATGCCGCTATCCAGAGTAACAAGAGTGTCAGAATCTGCATGCGTGTGGGCATTGTCGATCATTTAGTTGAAGAGTGATTAAAATAGTAGAAACATTCAATATCCAATTTTTCCAAGCACTGATAACTTGTTGAGGAAAGCAATTTCAAAAGAAACCGACAACAAACTTGCCTTTTCATGTCCACCATGGAAAAACTATCAAAACTGTAGCTTGGCCAGGGAGCTGTGCCTTCATTTTTATTGTCTGACCACTGCCCAGGCAAGCACCCGCCCGCCCGCCAACGGACCTCGCCATTGGGCAGCCTCCGCCTCCACCGCATTCCCTCATTAATTTAGTTTAGCCCGTTGTGCCCCCTCAAGTACAAGCTGGCTCACATGGCATTGCACTGTCACAGTCTCTGACAGACTTGCAGGTCCTTCCTCCAGCTGAGATTATGGAGACTGGGGCTGATGGGAGTTGCTAGAGGGACACACGTTGCCAGCCCTTGATCGAAACAGCAGTCTTCCTATCTCAGATGCATTTCTTGGCTGTGAAACTGTCTCTGACTTTTGACAACTCTAACAAGGGGGGGCCCTCTGGAAAACCCTATCCATGATATCCTTGCTTAGCTGTTCTAACGCGAGATGGTGGCTTCCTCTGTGGATTTAATCTCTTATTTGGCCTTGCTTTTCTTCTTCTGCCTTCGACCTTCCCCAGCACTACTGTCTTCTCCAGTGGGTCTTCTTCGCATGATGTACCCCAAGTACCACAGACTCAGTTTTGTCATTTTTGCTTCCAAGGAATGTTCTAACTTGTTTTGACCTAGAAACCATCTGTCTGCCTTTCTGTCGGCCCAGTTCTTTAGAAATGTTTAATATTCCTAGTTGGTCATACATCCTGATGACCTCAGTCATCTTGACTTGCTATGTAGCCATTAAATGTGAAAATGAATTGGGAAATCATAGGCATTCTTTTTCAAAATGAAGTTAAAATTTGAGACTTCCAATGAAAACAACATTATGATTCAGATAAATCAATATAACAAACAAAACTTTTCTTCCTTGGATTCAGTTACACTCAGAGCATCCCTTTATAATTATAGGCAGTTTTTAGAAGGTATGACAAATGAAATGTATTCTGGGAAACAAACAGTTCAAATGCCTTGGGTTAAAAACTCCCCCTATGTATATGCAAAACCCAGCTCTTACATGCAAATCGCCTTTTAAAATTGTAGCCAAACTTTAATGAGAGACGGCTTTCAAGTAGATGTTTTCATTTAAGTCTTGAAAATTATTCCATTTGCAATTGATAACATCATGGGACTCTTCCTGAAGTTTTATTCCCATATAAATTCATTGCAACAGGGTGGGTTTTTTGGTATTCTGGAAGAACACTGACTGTAGGTGACCATAGATGAAAAATATGCTGATTTATGGGGGAAGCGGCCAATTCTGAAAGTTTTTCTTCACACAAGAGACCACCACTAGCACGAGGACACATGACTCATCCTTCAGACTATAGTTTTGTAGCAAAGACATTTTGTTTCACATCACATAGAAACCAGTTGAGGGACGAGGTCTTTGTACTGTGGACCCTACTTGTTTAAGATTCTTTACTCGTGTATGGAAGACTGAGGACACGAATATGTCCCCGTCGTCAACTGCACACAGACACAAAGAAAAGGCTATTTCCGTGCTAATCCCCTAAGCCTTTTTCTTCTCCTTGAGAAAGACTCATGGCACAACGCACAGGGCTCCTTTCTACACTAGACCTTCTGCAGAGAAAGGGAGCGGCACAAAAGCGCAGTTCTCCTTCATGGCGATGGACTTGGTCCCATGGCGGATCCAGGACTGCTGACAGGAGGAAGGGAAATCAGCTGAGGATCCCATCTGAGCCCTCCAAAGAGAGAACCTGCAAGGGGGCTAGCCCAGAATTCATTGCACCAACAGCACAGTCAGGTCAGGTGAAATTCTCAGACACTTCCAGGTCAGGCTTGTTTATAGCAGGGATCAGCAAAACTTGAACGCATCAAAGTTCTTTGAATTCCACCTCAAAAGCTCATTCCAGCTCCTGTATCAGACAGCAGACGCTGGGTCTGCTTTTCACATAAGCATCTGCAAGTGTTTTTCTCCCATTGATTGCCATGTGTCCGTGTGCCTTTGAATGAAACGTGCATTTACAAATGCACTTGCCCTTGGTCTGCAAACCACTTCAGAAGCTCAGGACTGTAAAGACTTTGACCATGGATTAAGTCCAAGTCTACTTTAGCGTTTGGTAGGACGCTAAGCAGGTAAAAGGAACGGAGGAATGAATTTCCTACATCCCTACGTCAGGAACCTACCCTTTCCATGTTCCATCCTCCACTGAGTACGACGTCTGACTGAGATGTGTGCAAGGGAGTTTCTCAGGGGACTACATTTTCAATCTCCTGTCAGAGATCTTAAACAGGCCTGGAAAGATGTTCAAAGGGGGTTTTTCCCCCAAGCCACCCCTCAATTCCTATTTTCAACGTTTCAGAAGGTTGCAAGCAATCAACCTTGCTCGTGTCCCACTGCCAAAGAGCAGATCAACTAAGACAGCTCTACGGACTGCAGCCAGCCTCTGTGAGAATAGCCAGCACTACATACATGGCTGACTCACACTTGCACATGGCTCACTTTGCCCATTAACGCTCAAAACCTGTCGTATCAAAATATAATGGCTTCCTTCCCCGGACCACCGTACACAACTTAAGTCGGCCTGGAAAAACAGGATACAAATGTAATAAATAAATCCATGGGGCAAAAGCGTGTAGGCTTCGGCAGTGTGCCTCTGACAAAGAGAGGGACTTCCCGCATTTCTCCTCGAGAGCAGATGGGCCTTATTATCTGTGCCTATGAAAATCCTATTTACAATGTCCTGCATTTCACGCTGTGATATCATATCTGGAACCAGCCGCTCTCCCCATCTGCAAAGAACAACTGTTCTCACATGTGCATCAGGGGCCGATGCTCTGGCTAGAATCTCATGATGTCATCCTTAACCCGCATTACTTTACAGGCGCTCGCAAACAAAAGCTGCTATATTTATCAGAGGGGGCTTGTTTTTCAAAACTTGTCAAAAGAGACAATCCTTCAACAAGCTCCTTATTAAATTTCTTTTAAGAATACTTTTTTCAGCTCACTTTACCACTACACCTGCCTTTAAGTAACCACTTAAAAAGCTGTTGCTGCTGCTGTTTTAACAGAACAAAAGTCGCCATTTGGAGACGTTTTTCTTCTTGGAAAGCAACAACTATATTGCTCAAAGGCCAGCCTTCCCCAGGCTACAGTCCAAATGTGTTGACCACCTCTCCCATCTTCCCCAGTCAGCATGGCTATGCATCCAACACATCTGGAGAGCCTGAAATCATGAACATGTACTTTAGGTCATTTATGCCAAGAGTGGATCATCGATGGTCCGCTGTGATTCATCTATTTAACACTTTCAGCCCTCACTCCAAGGTATCAAGGGGAAGGGAAATGGCCCCGAGAGGCAGCAAAACTGCCAGCATCTGTGCATCTCCCACCAGAAATCCACTGCAATGGCAGGAACACCCACTGCTCCCACTGCGAATTGCAGGGTCTAAGTCCCAAGCACCTGGATAAGCGTTTTCCTTTTCAGGCCTGCCGAGACATCCTCCTGTGACAGGTATGCTTCAAATATTTTCTTCCTTCCCCGAGTTGGCTTACTCCGATTCTTTCTTTCCCCAGGGGTTGAGCCAGTGGTGTGGGAACCTCCTGAAAAACAAAGCCATAATCACTGCTCTTCTGTAGAAACTCATTTGTTTTATGATTATGCAGAAAACGGTGGGTTGATTCTGACAGCACACAAAACCCTGGTTAAGGAAGTGCAACTCACCAGCACTCCGGAATCAGAAGCTGTGGGTTAAGGAGGCTTTCAAAGCATGGATTCCTGCTCACCTTCGCTTACTGAGATAACCGAATTGACAGGTTTGCGCTCTTACCAAAGAAGCACATGGATCATGGAAGGGAGCCTGAAGCAGTCTAAGGGCCAAGTTTCATTTCAGAGGGGATGCATCCCAGGGGAAGGAGGGACCCAAGGCAAAGGGTATCGCCATAAATCACCCACATGCTTTAACTTTGATTTCTGACTTCTAGTAACTGCATTTTAGGAGATGCATTTCAGCCTTCCTGAATGGGGAAAAAGTGGCAGAAATGCCAAATGAACAGTGGCCAAAGGAAAGCAAATGGGCAGGCCAAAGGAGGTGAGGCCCTCCAAGGAAGCCTGGAAGGCCATACTGGGACTTGGAATTCAGAGCAGACATAGAAATTAACAAGAAAGAGCGGAAGGGAACAAAATTGGACAGGTGTTCTGCTCCACTCCACGCTGGTTTACGCTTCCCAAGACATTTCTCACATCTTCCCAAAGGTGTGAGCTGGCTGAAGACCGAAGCATGAAGAACCAAGGTTCTCATGACGGCCAGAGTTCTACCAGATTCCCGTACAGACTTGATCCTCGCACTCTTGATTCAAGCCACTTGAATCGAAAAGCCAGAAGAGACACTCAGCAGGTCACCCAATGCAAACCACTTCCAGTATCTGAGCAAACTTTACTCCGGCGTCTTTTATCAATACCTGAGACGCACATTTTCAAAAGAAGCTTCGTCTCTCAACCATGCAACGCCCCAGTTCATACCTCTGGGAGTCCCCGGCTGCTGCTGGGTCATTCGGCAGTCAGAGCCACTCATGGTGTCCACTTGGGATTCTGAGAGCTGCCGCCTCCTGTCAACGCTTGGGGGTGCTCTGCCCGATTCTGACTTGTTCCTGGTCCTCACCACGCCTCTCTTGTCCGTACCTAGAAGCATCAAAATACAATGCGTTAATACAGAGAGGAAGCGAGGGCTCTTGCTGCAATTATCTTGTCCACCCCATGCATTACGGGAGCCTTTCTTTATCAGGAGTTATACTCAGCTTGCCCCTTCGCACTTGGAGGCCCAAGCAGCAAGGCTAGACGCAAAACCAAGCTCTTTCACGCTCACACTAGCACTAGCCTAAGCATGACCCAAAGCCCAAACTGTCTTTTATTGCCCCATTCAGACAACATTTCCTGCATTTATGCCCCCCAGTGGTGCCATCTGAAGCAGGCAAAATGGCATGACCAGGATCCCTGCTGACATTGGCAAACACGTCCCTTTTGGGGATCCCAAAGGTGAAGAAAACAAAAGTTACAGATGGTGCTTCCTTCCACTTTTCCCCTAAGCAAACAGTTAATGTATACAATTGCATTATCTTCTCCCCTCAGGAGCCTCTATTATCCCCTTTAGGCATCCACTGAGGATTTACAATTCATACGTTAACTGAACTAATGTAGTCTATTTTAAAGAAGTCCTTTCTTTCAAAGCTTGAAAGTCTCCTTTCAAGTTTTACTTATTTTAAGATGGCCTTTGGAAATTCTTAGCTTCTGAAAGCCACTGTATGTCTTTGGAATGATTATCAGCACATCTGCATACCGGAAACCCTGCAGATCCCCTGGCAAGGACCAGGCTAGCACAGGGGCGCTTCTGGAGAGAGTCCGTTCTTTTCAACTGGACCTGTTGCAGCTCATTCCGACAGGACTGCGGCCCACAATGCCCCTTTCCACAAGGGTTCGCTCCCTATACACCTTCCTAGCCATCACCACCACCAACCTTCCCTAGAGCAGTCGGCAACAGCAGCACAGCCTCCTCAGCTCATACCAAACGATGTTCCGCAGATCGGCAGATCAGAATGCAATGCAATGCAATGCTGTGCTACTCAACGCCTCACCGCCATTTCACATTATGACCTGCACGGGTCTTTCCTGGCCCGGCTGCCTTGAGCCCTCCACCTGGAGATTCGAGAATGAACTGGGACCTTGTGTGGGGAAAGCCACGGACCACAGTCCTTCTGTTCATCATGCAGCCCCAGCCACGCAATGCACAGCACTGCTTCTGGCTCACACATCCTTGCTGATCACCCAGTCTGTAAGCACCAGTGCGTGCACCTGGCTGAGGGAGCCTATTTCCATGCCGAAGCACATGACTCTGTTCCCAATAACCACATCAGCGTGTAAAAGCAGGTGTTGGGGAAATCTGGATAAATCCTGTCTGAAAAGCATTACTCCGGTGTGCCTTTGCATTGAGAGATCAAATCCTGTCTTCCTTCTCAAAACCAAGCTGTCACTGTTTAAAATGGCATTCATCCCCCCCCCCCCGCTCCTTTCTCTCACCTTTAGCTAAAAGGCCATTTTAGCCCAAATATCCATTGTAAATAGTCATTGTTGGAATTCAGTTTACAATAATCTTTTGATAGCCCAGAGGGCTTCATGTGCCCTGATCATGCAGAATGTTTAGAGTCATGATAAGAGTCTGAGCTTATCATGAATAGTTTCTAGTAGCTTGAATTTGCATGTCTGAGCAGTCCTGGAGATGGGTTCAAGTTACTCAATTAAAGTGTCAATACAGACAATTAGAAATATTGTAATCTCATTGTTACAGTATGATTGACTGACATTCCTTTATCTGTTCTGTACGTGATGACCTCAGAATCTTACTGTAATCTCTGCATTCTGCCATCAATGGCCCTGTACCTGTGTACCTATAAATGCCCTGCAATGGTATTGAAGCTTTGCAGCAGAGTTCACCGCTGCCTGCCCGGTAATGCATGCATTATCGTGAGAGTCTACCGCGGGAACCTTGGGGTAATACAATAAAGCCACAGATGGTCTGGACGCTTGGTCTTTCCCACGAACCCGAGTTTTATTCCCTCTTCTCAAATTAAGATTCCGGGACTCTGACACAGGACAGTAAAGAAAGCTGTCAGGAAGAAAATGGATGCATTCGAAACATGCTGCTGGAGGAGAGCTTTGCAAATTATTATTATTATTATTACATTTTTATACTGCCCATAGCCAAAGCTCTCTAGGCAGTTGACAGCAATAATCACAGAATCATACCCTCAAGTCACCCATCCCACTTCTACCCAGGCCTGACCCTGCTTAGCTTCCAAGATTAGGCAGGGTCACGCTGGGTGGGCAGGAAGAGTGAGCCCAACAAGTGAGTCCTAGACCAAAGCCAACCAGAACGCTCCCTGGAAGCAAAAACGATCGAATGGAGACGGTTGCACTTCAGGCACATTATGAGAAGGCAAGACTCATGGGAGACGACAACTGGGCAGGGAAAGCTGAGGACCGAAAGCGGGAAGACCACCTATGCGATGGCTTGATTCCACAAAGGAAGCCACTGCTTTGCATTCACAAATACCAGGTCGGGCTGTCATGGATAGGTCATCTCGGAGGGCTTTCATTCAAAGGGTCTCCATAAGCTGGAGATGACGGACTGTGCACAACAACAAGAAGAACAAGCACAGAAGTGGAGCACATGTTATTGTTATTGCTTTTTTTTTTTGGACTAATTTATGGTAAACCATCCCAAGGCTTTTAAGTATAGAAAAGTTTTAAACAAACAAACAAACAAACACACTGTGGCCCTCCAGATTTTGGTGGGTTCTGTCCATCAGCAGTTCCAGCAAACACAACCAATGAGCACATGATTCGAGTTATAATGCCATGTCATCTGAAGGTTCCAGCCCTGCCCAAGCAGGTCACCAACCAAGCAGACAACAAAGGGATCGTGTGTGCAGGTTAGAATGACTCCCAAGGCGTCCCAGACTGGAAGGAGCTGGCGTGGCCACAACACCCACCATGTTCTCACAGTCGGTCCTGCACCTGCCCTGGCAAGAGCCAACAGGGCTACAGTACACAGGAAGATGTGGTGGTGCAGCCAAACAGGTCCACCCTTCAAGGTGCTCTCACTGAGATGACACAACAGCACCTGCGCACAGTGCAGCTCAAGTCCTGATCTCGCAGTACAGGTTGAACATGCACACCAGCTTCAGTCTCACTGCAGCCTCGCTGGACTCGGGAAGCTGAGAGCACAGCCTGTGTGTGCCATCACATCCCACGCCCTTTCGCACTGTGCTATCCAAGTGCTGAAATAGCCACACATCCAGGAAGGCCACCCTTGCAAGCTATACATCAAGGGGCAGCTACCACTCTTCTTTCATCCTCTTCTCCAATTTCTCCTCTTTTCCTTCCTGCTGAAATATCCCCCTATTTTCTAAAAGATGTGACCAGAACAGACAACCAGTGCAAAAATGCTACATAACACTATAACTCAGGCCTTAGCAGATCTGAAGGGGTTAGCTGAAGAACAAATCCAAAGGCATCACAGGATTCATTCTAGGTCTTGTATCCTGACAGTATGATTAGAAGAGGGAGATTCTTCAACCGTGAAAATACAAAAACTACCAACATACGATGAACGGCAGCAGTGCAAGTGGGCAGCTACCAACATCACCCACATCTTAATCCCCCGTTCCAAATTCACAGGATACATCAGGAAGGGACAGGTGCCAACTTCTAGTCCAACACATCTGGAAGGCACCACTGGCCCAGCCAGTCCCCTTCCCCATAAAGCATATGGGGATTTCCACCAAGACACTCCAGGCAGCCGGAGCTAAAGGGCAAAAGGGCTAGGAGTGGCCTGCCCTGGCCTGTCCGTGGCTGCTCACTATTCAGCCTCGATGCAGAAAACGTGCTCACTCCGCTGTGCTCCGGCTGGGGTGAGCAGCGGGACTTTCCACATATGAAGAGGCATGGGACGAATTTCCACATGGGAAGAATTTTCATACGACTTCCTGCCTGATGCACACACTCACACCATGGCTGACAGAATCACGGTGTGTTTCCATCAACCTGTGCTGGGAAGGCACAGCTAACTGAGGTTGGCCCCATCGTTTGACTACCCACACCTCCTATTGTGTACAACTTCCTACTTGGCAAAATATTCCATGTGGGAATTTTAGTTTGCTTGAAGCAGACTCAGGCTACGCAGCAGCCTCTCCCAACCTAGCGCCTTTCAGCTGTACTGAACCCTCAGCCTACATCACCCAAGGAAAGATGCTCATTGGCCAGGTGGCCTGGGGACAAGTTAAGCTGCTGCCCAATCCATCTGGTTAAGAAAGACTGCAACCTTTATGCCCTGCCTCTTCTTTCCCCTTTCCAGTGTTGTCAGAAGAAAGGAAGGGCAATGATTCACAAATGTACTGGAAAAAAGTATTTTCACTTCCTCCTGCCCAAAAGAAACTGGGAGGTGTGGAAAACTGGCAGAAACTTGCCCATGAAATCAAGAGATGCCACCGCATGCACTATGAACACACAAGCTTCCTGTGCACCTTCTCAATCACATTTGCTCATATCACTCTTGGTTAACTTTCTGCATCATTTGTAAGACCAAAAGAGTAAGCCAAGGTTGGAAACTGAGAGCAGAATCTTTATGTTTCTCCCTCCCAACATCTGAAATATTGTGGAGTGTAGCCTAGAACATGAGGTGATGTGCTTTGGAGTACTCCCAAAGGTGACTCTGCCACTTCACAGCAGGTGACAGGAAAGAAACCAAGTCAAGCCTTTCACCTTTCTAATCCAGGGCTGCAACCAGAAAGGTGGGGGCCCAAACCAATGCACCAGAGTTCCCCAGCTGGCCATACCCCCACCTGCCTGAATCCAATACTTCAAGGGGGAGGGGGTCCAATTCTCCCTGTCCCCACAAACATTCCAGAGGGTTGGAAGGACTCTCCTGAAACATAGAAGAGTATGGGAGATGGGTAGAGACCTGTTCTCCCCTGCAGAGGAAGGCAGGACGCGCTCCAATGGAGCAAAGCTCAGGGAACCCAGGTTCCATTTGGATGCCAGGAAGCACTTCCTGGCAGTCAGGACCCCAAGGGTGTGGAATGGGCTCCCACGGGAGGTGGTTGAGGCCCCATTGGTGCAGGTGTTCA